ATTTTGGGGTGAACTATCCCTTTAATGTGTATGAGTGCCATTTTGCCAAGCAAACATATTGAGGCAGGAAACATGTCCGCTAACAACATATTTTGGTAAATGAAACATTGATTTTCGGCATACATCTAAAAAAAAAAAAATTGTTTTTCAGGTCCATTCTTGCTATATGGTTACTCAACTCTGTGTTGACACAGGTCTTTTACAGAGGGGACTGTTTAGATGTAAGAATGCAACAAACAATTCAGTTCAGTTCACAGATGCCCTTTTCGCTATATTGCTCGTGACTCTACTGAACCTCAGTTTATCTGCACTCGGTTTACCCTAGAAAACTGCTGACATGTCACATCTAAGGTTTATTTATAGTAGCAAAGTGTAAATATTAATTCTACTGGACAGTAAAACAATTAGTTGTACTCTGACATTCAGCGCTGAAACGTAAATAAATAGATTAATTACCACATGGGTACTCAGACTTGTTTCTGGTGCACAGTTTAGCTCCAATCCTGAACTAGCTAATTAAGATCTCGATAATAGAGCATTGCAGAGATGCATTTTTATAGGCCAACTTGGAAGTTAGCACCACCGTGGTTCCCTCAACAAAAACAAAATAGTTTTTTTTTTCTATTGGCTTTTGTATTATAGCAGAAAATAAGTTCTGACCAACAAAATTTTAATATATTGATTCTTACGTTTTCTTCATCATGATAATCTTCACAAATGAACAACTTTTATGAGTCAAAGCCTAAATACAATAACTAGAAGTAAAAAAAAACTAAATGAAAGCTACTTGACTTCAACATCAGCATTATTAAACTTGCAAACGCTCTTTTCAGTCTTGATTTAAAAAACAATTTCCCTGAAAGTTTGAGTTTTAATAGTTTGCAAACGTGAAAGCTGATTAGATGAGTTTACCTGTTCGGAGTGATGACGTTTAATGTCCCAGACAACCTCTGTGGTCCCATTTAGCCTCTTAATCAGGGTATCTTCCAATCATTCGTTTTTTAATTTAATATTGAAATCTGAAAAATGTTAATGTAAATTTGTTCAAACAAAATAAAAAATCAAGAATTTGGCTTCATTTTTCGTTTTTACGTTCAGGGATAGAAAACGAATAAGCAATTTGAATATTCGATCTCTATGTGGGCGGGAATGAAACGCCCCTCTCTGCTGATTGGTCAACCAAACATTTAATACTCCTAAAAAACACAATAAGAGTCCTCCGCTTATATGGATTCTTAACGTCTATTTCTACTACATTTTATCTCTTTCTCTTCATCAGACAGCCAGATTAACGAATGGTTTGACGCCAAATTCTTGATTTTTCGTTTTGTTTGAACAAATGAAAAACGAAAAATGTGCCGTTTTTTCATTTTTCAGATTTCACACTCTAAACAATGCTGGGTTAAATATAACCCAGTGCTGGGTTAAAAAGGGACAAACCCAGCTATTGAGTTGTTTTGACCCAGCGGTTGGGTTCAAAACAACCCAACCGCTGGGTCAAATCAACCCAATAGCTGGGTTTGTCCCTTTTTAACCCAGCACTGGGTTATATTTAACCCAGCATTGTTTAGAGTGTGAAATCTGAAAAATGAAAAAACGGCACATTTTTCGTTTTTCATTTGTTCAAACAAAACGAAAAATCAAGAATTTGGCTTCATTTTTCGTCC